GAAGTTTTCCAAATACTTTTTTTTTTTAAAGTTAAGAGTACGACATTGCTCGTTGTAGGTTTGCATAAACAAAAAAGAATCAAGTTGTACTTAATTTATATAGAGATCTAATGTATTTTCAATTATGTAAATGGGATCAGACAGGTTACACTGCCGGTACAATGTCCTCCATCATGGAAGATATTGATATCTCTATCGCACAAGTAATTAAGTCTCCATTTCACTATACATTATTGTAGATAGTTACTCCATAATTTAAATTAAATTTTATATTTAAAATTTTCTTCCACAGTTTTCGATATTTGGTTCGCTATTGACGTTTGGAGGAATGATCGGTGCAATATTTAGTGCCACAATTGCAGATTATTTTGGTCGTAAAATGGTTAAGTATTCATTATTTTAAAATCCATGGTCCATCCTCATACTTTCAATATTTCAATTAATGTAATCCTAATTAAACCTCTAGTTTTTTTTTTTTTTTGCGTTTTAAATTACTTCTTAGACTTTGTGGGTCGCCGAGGTATTCTGCATAAGTGGCTGGCTCGCAATTGCACTAGCCAAGGTTTGTGCGCAATATATCTAACTAATATTCTCACTTTATAATAAGCTTACGATCTAATCCTGATTAATTTATCTTAACATATATAGAATATAATTTGGTTGGACTTTGGACGATTCTTTGTGGGAATTGCAGTTGGTCTCCTTAGCTACGTGGTAAATTATTTGTCTGGTTATTTTTAAAAAAAAAATTGAAGAGAACAAAATATCATCTCTAAACTTACGTAATAATTATTATTATACAAAAAACCGCGCAGATTCCTGTATATATCGCAGAAATAACTCCCAAAAATGTACGAGGCACTTTTACATTTAGCAATCAGGTAATGTATATATTAATAGCTTATAATCAGACTTAAAATTTGTATATACTATTGCATGTGTAGGTTTAGCAAACAATTTTAAAATTAATATGTTGCAGCTGTTACAAAATTGTGGGCTCGCAACCGCATATTACCTTGGAAATTTCATGTCCTGGAGAACGATAGCCTTAATCGGTGATTCATATACCTATCTACTATTATTTATTTTTCTCCAACTTTCAATTTTTCCATATCGATCATTAAATTTAATTTTTGTTCAATATCTTCAGGCATTATTCCATGCTTGATACAACTTTGTGGCTTGTTCTTCATCCCCGAATCTCCAAGATGGCTGGTTAGTCATGCGAATTATATTATACACTTTTTAAACTAGTTTCGTTCAAACAAAAAAAAATTGGAAAAGCAAAATTTTAATATACTTAACGTAATAATTTTATTAGGCAAAAGAATGCCGCGACGAAGAATGTAAGGTTGTTCTTCAGAAACTAAGAGGAACAGAAGCTGATATTGTGAAGGAATCTCGTGAAATCATGGTACATATACGTATAAATCACTACCAATGTACCATAATGTTAATCATGGTACATTTGTTCTCTTTCTATTCAGAGAATTTTTGTTACTCATTTTGATACTAATTTTGCAGATTTCTGTTGAAGCTACCGCAAATATCAGCATGCGAAGTCTTTTCAAAAGGAAATATACCCGTCAGCTTACGGTACAAAATTAATGGGGTTTCTCATTCATTAGCTCAGAAAAATTAAATTATCAGTTAATTTGAATAAAATATAATTAACTGATTTTTTTGGTTAATTGTGTTTAGATCGGTGTAGGTTTAATGCTTATGCAACAATTATGTGGAAGTACAGGAATTGGTTATTACGCAGGCAAAATATTTGAGCTTGCCGGTAATATATTATTAATTTATTTAATATTATTCCCTTTTCTGTTTTAATAATTATTACGAATTTTGTTTCATATATAACAAAACTAATACCTTTAATTAACTCTCAAGGTTTTCCTTCTAAGATTGGGATGACGGTGTTGTCTATTGTCGTGGTACGTATATGTAAAGTATTGTTAATATCTGTCTATTATTTGTTCTTTGTTATTCACACTTTGACCACTAAATTTCTTATTTCTTACGATGATCGTATCATTGTAATCAATGATCATATGATAGGTCCCAAAAGCAATATTGGGTATGTTAATTGTGGATCGATGGGGAAGACGACCGCTTCTTATGGTTAGAACTTTTTTTATTTAATATAGTACCTTATTTTGTTAATAAATAGACTAATTTATACAATTATACATATGTAATAACATATATAATTTAATGTACAAATTTCCAGACATCAGCGTCTGGGATATGTTTAAGTTGTATCCTTATTGCGTTAGCATTTGGACTGAAAGGTGTCCCTGGGATTGTAAATTTTACTCCCGTTATGGTCTTTATTGGAATATTGGTAAGTGATGTCCAATCTAATTTTCGTTCTCCAATTTGTTTTTTTAAGTTTAAGTCTTAATTTCTCATTTATATATTCTATATATATTCCAAAATGGGATTAGATATAATTAATATATACTCTTAAACAGACATATAGTATGATGTTCGCTGCTGGAATAGGAGCGCTACCATGGATTATAATGTCTGAGGTAAATTTATGTCTGTCAGATTAAGCAAGCT